AAAAAATTTATGGTGGAAAATTATTTTTGATGAATATTCACAATAAAATGTGATTACTCACTGAACCGATGATGACGTCTCAAATATTTTCTTTTCAACTTCGTATTTATGCTGTCGTCAATTAACCGGTCTTTAGGTGCTGCAGCGGCAGACACATATCTTCGCAGTTTTTGCTCACTGCCATACTGTGATCTTGTGAGATTGGTCAGACTGATGCCGACGAAATGATGATTAACTATATTATACACACGCAATGTGTGATGTATACGAGGTGTATACGCATAAAGGTACTTCCAATGTGTTCTGGGTAATTAAACAATACACTGAGAAATGCCGAAAAGTGTTTTTTTTTATGTTCATTGAATAATACTCTCTGTGTTTGTGTTATTGAAAACGCATGATAATTCCTTTCACTCAGAAAAATAACGATCTACAATACGACTCATTCGTTAACACGCGTTTGTGCGCTCATTTCGATTCGGCGGCTTATACAATACACACACACACACACACACACACACACACACATTATTATATGTACATGCTCGGGCGCAAGTGTATAGTGAGTGCATCTATGTATGTTATATTTTTTTATTATTTCCATTCTTTTTATTTTTAAATTCGCCCAAGTCATCGTTAATGACATAAAAAACAAGATTGTACTAATGAAGGGCCGCCCTCTATTTCTCGACTCTCTCCCCTACCCCTCAATTGTTTACGACATTGCCAAGTCATTGCCGTGCAACCGAAAAGGTAACAGGCACGAAAAAGAAAAATTAAAAAAAAAAAAACTACCGCAAAGAATATTTATATATTTGGATTACAATAAAGTTTTGATTATTTATTAGTGAGGACCTCGTGTCGCCGATAATGTAGCCCCCATACCTATTGCATAAACTCATTTGGACAGCGTATAGTGTATGCGCGTGTAAACACTATTATATAGTGTGTGTTTGTGTGTGTATGAAACCAGCGAATATTTGTATGCATTCAAAAATACGCATGCGAACAATACAGTAATTTACCAATGATCAAAATTGATTTATAATATTATATATATGTACACATTTTTTAACGGTATATAAATTAAGGAACAGAGTTAACGTGCGCATAATTATTATCGCGTTGTCCAAGCAAATTAGACGGCCCGAAAAATATATAGGTTAACGGGTGTTACTTACAGGTTGCAATCAATAGTTATGACGTATTCAAATAGTATAATACGCTCAATAATCTTTTTAAATATTATTTTTACGATATTGTAATTATTGTATATAGATAATAAAGATCATAAAATTATTGATAATAACTAATAACTGTATTAATTAATGATTACTTATATCAATGGTTTTTAATCAACAAGTATTGTAAAACTCACGTCGAAGTTTACCTAGTGGGAGAAGTATTCATTCCGTGAAACATATCTTTCCTCGTTAAAGGCACCACAGTCACTTATTGTTTTAATACACTGTTAAAACAATTTTTAGGTCGGCATTAGTCATGCATTATAAATAAAATACGTTAGTTATAATTACCATATGTTTATGATTTTTTTTTTTTTTTTAATGTGGCTCAACTAATAATGATGTAATTAATAATAATTATTGTTGGTCAACGGCAATTGCAAAAATGATTATATAAAAATCAAACACTACTTTCTCATTTTTCAGTCTATCAGTATTATTACTCTTATACATATAACAGTTATTAGTTTATTTCTTATGGCCTTTCTTCAATTTAAATAATAACTTCGTTGAAGAAAATAACGTAATTTTACTACAAACCAATAAAAATGTATACTAGATGATAAATTACTATAATAACGTGATATAAAATTTAAATAAAGGTTATTACTAAAATAAACATTATTTATATTACTGTTAAGTTTAATAATTTTTACCATTGACTATAAAGTAATAAATATATAACAGATCTTAGTATTATTTAAATAATGTTTATACTGTCATCACAATGACCCAATTACTTACAATACATAAGTATTTACTCTTACAATTATTATTGGCAATTTAATTTTTATCAAGAAATTTTGGGTAAATTATTTTTTGTTTTATGTTCATTTCATAATATTTATTCTAAATACTATGTTAAAACCCTTAAGTGTTCTATACGCACGCAACTGTATTTA